AGCTCATTGTTTTAAGCAATAAACCATTATCCCTAGAAACTGAATCTCAATAGAGACTGTAATAAAATGTAGCGGCCCTTCCATCTTTTAATGCTTCTGTTTACAGTGGCAGCTGCTTTCCTAGCCACAAAGGTCTGTAGAGTGGTGCAGGAAGTGAGTCCTCACATTAGTCAGGTTGGATCTTGAAAAGCCAAAAGATCCCAGCATTAAACAATGGACCTGAGAATGCACAGAAGGGAAATATCCCAACAAATGAAAGAGATTGTGTCAAGGGAATCTTGCCTAACGAGTCAAACTGTGCAAGGTTCTTTATGAGTAGGCACTAATCAGGATTTGCTGACATAATGGATCAATCAGGGTTTCTATTAACAGAGAAAATGTATTCTGAAGCACATAACATATTATCTGCTTGGCTGAAAAAGAAAAAAAAGTGAAGATGATCCTTCCAAGCAAATCTGACGAGGGCTAGAGGTAGCTCTCATTTTTAGAGAACTGCTTCCAAACAAGGAAGAGCAGAACAATTCTCATCCTTACAAACTTCCACAGTTAACCGTGGCTTTCTGAGCATAGTACTCTACTCCATTTACCTTCTCAGAGTTTTAAAAGCCTATTATCCACTTCATTAGAGTCAAGCCTATGGACTGAATAGGAGAGTAGGAAAATTTATTCCCTCCCACCCCACTGGCTGGCCTCCAACTCTTGATCCTCCTGCCTCAGTCTCCTGAATGCTGGGATTACAAGCATGAACCACCAAGCCCTGCTTCATGATTCTTCTGATGGGTCAGTTTGCCTAGGCTATAGTTCCTGGTTGTTGAAGAAAACAAGCTAGGTATTGCTGTGAAGATATTTTGCTGATGTGACTAAAGTCCACAATCACTTGAGTTTAAGGGAGATTATCTTAGATAATCTGAGTGGTCCTGACTCAGTTAGTTGCAGGGCTTTCGAGCAATGCTACAGCTTCTGTGAAGAAGAAATTCTGCCTGTAGATGACGTCCTCATTTAGTCATGCCCAGGAGTTTCGGCCTGCCCTTCCTCACAGTCGACCCTAAGAACTTCTGGATGTGTCTCCCACAATTGCATAAGCCACTTCCTTGCAGTAAGTTTCTCGTATTGGCTTTGCATCTCTGGTGGAACTCTGACTGGTACACATGAACATATAATATCATGTGTATGTGTGTAGATGTCTTATCTTTCCAATCAGACTCAAGGGTAGCAACCAGAGGAATGATAATAATGATACTATATGTCAGGCACAGTGATAAGCCTTTTAAGATATGAACTCGTTTTATCCTCACAACCACCTGATATAGAAAAATTATTAATTTCCATTTTTTAAAGGCTAAAAACTCACCCAACTTACACAGATCAGAAAGGACAAACTGGAACTAAAACCTAAAGCTCTTGTATTCCAATTTAGGCTCCTAACTGGTACAGTAGATATGACCCCTCACAGAAATGGAGAGGGCGGAGAGACAGACATACAGAGAAGAATGCTGTATAAACCAGGGTAGACCATGCTTGTTGAACAGCTATAAAGTGCTTATCACCTGTTAATATCCTCTCATCCCTAATTCCTAAAGAGTGAGCTCAGCCGGGAGGCAATGCTCTAAGTGGGATGGTTACAGCACTCCTCCAGGAGAACCTCTGACTTAACTAATACCATGGTTCTTGCCCCATGAAAACAAGCCAAGGACTCGAGAACCTCCTTTATATCCAGTAAATATGTCAGAGCCATGCAACCAACCATATTCATCAACACTGCTTTCCTTTTTGGGCATTTGTTTACAAAACCAGTTATCATATTGTGATATTTGCCAATTTCTGGACTGGGTGGAATGGGAGGCTAAACCTTTATTGAAAAGCAAAGCAGATATACGGTATTCTCATGAGATCCAGGGTACAGGTACGAACCTGCCAGAGGCAGAAGCCTCAAGGAATGCCAGGCTCTCAGTTAAAAACCTTGGAGAACCAGGCACAGTGGTGCAAAGGCTCTTCTGGTTTCTTTTCTTCCCTTCTTTTTCTGGGGGGAGGTAGTACTGGGGATTGCCGGTGCTCTACCACTTGAGCTACACCCCCAGTCCCTGTTCTGCCAATTTCTTGTCCCCAGCTTCTTATATGCTTTGTTAACAACTTGAATATTTCCGAGAAATGCATAGTTAAGCAATTTCATCTTTGTGCTAACATCACAGAATATACTTACACGAACATAGACGATATAGCCTACTACCCACATATATGGCATTTGCTAACATGTTATATCTGTCATTGACTGAAATATCCTCATGTACAGCATAACTGTAGTTTTGCTTCTCAGACCCCCGCCCACATCCAGAACCAGCAAATTCCCCCAGGGTAAAAGAAATTACAGAATTTGGCTCACCATTCTGAATTTTAACTCACCTTTACTCTTGGGGTTCAGACCCTCAGGGTTTCAGCCTAAAGCATGGTGTACCAGGATTCTCACCCTTCATTGGATCTGTACCAGATTTTATTTACCTAGCTCCATAAGACTGCATCTCAAAGCAAACATCTCCATGTAAAAGCAGCCACAAAAACTACGCTCACCTCTATCAAGTCTTATCCTCTCCCAGAACTTAATCAAGTCATTCCTCACTATCTTGGTAGCTCTTTGAAGCTTTAGAATATTTTTTTCTGCTTGCCTTTTAGTTCTCATCCCACAGTTCCTATGAAACATTAGTATTAGCTTAGTACTGTCCTTAGTATTAGAAGTTACGGGAGGTTCTAGGAACATAATCCCAAATGCAGAGTATGTACAGTTTTTTTTAAAGCCAGCCTTAATAAATATGATGTATTTTACACTCAGAAAGCTTTTTTAGCATTTTCAGGTTTTAGTAAAATAGCCATCAACTTAGGCTAGAATTATTCTGTTTCTCTATTTCTCATGAAATAAAGGAAAATGAAATCAGAGTAAAAATGATGAATTACTTCAACTGTAGTTCACTCATGAGAAAGCATGTACCAATATGAGCCTTATACTTAGTAAGATGTTACAGCAATACAAGATATTTAAAACCATATCCATTTCATTTTGGTTTAATCGCTTAGCATAATATTCCTAATATCACCAGAGGATGATAACACACTTTCCTGGAAGGGTGGTGGTGGGCTTGTATTTTTTTTTCCAACCAAGTAAATGTGTTCTCTTAGGGATGTATAACACATATTACTGTATCATACACCCTAAAGAGTCTCCAGGAAAGTCAGCTATAATTTTTGCTTAACCCTTTGTTTCCAATATATCTGACCAGAGAACTAGCTTATCTATAGAATACCTATGTTTTTAAGCTGCTGGGGATTGAGCCCAGGGCCTCATGCATTCTAAGCAAGCACGCTACCACTGAGCTACACCTCCAACTCTACATTACTATTGATGTGCCCCAAGGTACATAGGTTGAAAAAGATGGCCTACTGGAAGGGACACAAACATTTCAAACAGTTTTGGTAATTTGTAGGTTTTTGTAATTGATTGATAATTTTTGCTTCCTCCTTCTTCATAGAAGGTGAGCAGATGAGTTTTAGGGGCAGGGGGGTTCATCAGCTTTATTAGACTATAGGTTCCTCTGTCTTTTGTGGCATGGGGTAGCAGAAAGACTAAGCTTTATATAGAAACAGAATTGGATCAAATCATCTTGGGCAAATTTTCTCCAGGTCATATTTCTGTATTTGTAAAATAGGCATGGGGAGTTTACAGTATTATTTTTAAGAAATAATTAAACAGGTAAAGTACCTACTGCATTACCTGGCCACAGAGGTTTCTCCTACCTTGAAATTCTTCAAGAATCTGGAATGCCAACAGTATGAGACAGGACTGACATATTTGAACCTCAACTGGGGACTCCTGATTGGGGACTCTGTTTCTCAAATTAGTAATTCCTCCCTTTCTACTTAAAAGACCACAGTAATAGTGCTGAGATTTGTTGTTGTTGTTTTTGGTGGCACTCTACCACTTGAGCCACACTCCAGCTGTTGTTTTTTAATCCAATTTGATAGAACACTGAGTGTTAAACTGACTTTCATTTTCTTAGACCTTTGGGAAGACTCAGAGCTGACTGGCTTATGTTCCTATAACACTTACTATGGTAACATTTATCTTGTTGAGTACTGTGACTACTCATTTTCCTCCCTGCTCAGCTGTAAATTCTAAAAGGTCAGGGACATCTTGTTTCCCACTGTATGCACACACCTAACACAACTGGCCTGGGTAAAGAGTCACATTCAGTAATTATAGAATATGTAATAATTTATAATCATTGGAATCCCAATAATCTGGGGATTTTTTTAAGTCAGAGTCTTGCTATGTTGCTCAAGCTGGTCTAGAACTTGTGATTCTCCTGTCTTAGCCCTCTGAGTCCTGGGATTACAGTTGTGTACCACCACCCCAGCCTCCAGAGATCACTATTAAAAATATAACTGTATTGGATAGGGGTGTAGCTCAATAGTACAGCACCAGCTTAGCATGCAGCAGGTCCTGGGTTTGAGCCCTAGCACCAGAAAAATGAGATAAAACAAAACAAAAAAACATATATATATATAATTCTGAGATAAACTGTTTTAGTATTTCTTATATTAGAAGATATTGGTAGAAAACAAGAAATTAAATTTACTTGAAATCTTCAAATATTTAAAATGTAAGTGCTATGGAATCAACAGAAAGCTGAGACAGACACAATGATCTCCCTGCACTGCATCAAATCAGTAGAAGAGAAAACAGAAAAGAAATACAGGCATTATAGAAAATTTCAAATGTATTTGAGAAACACAAAACAAAAACTCCTCTTTGTAGTGAGGATGCTCCCACACTAAGTATCTGTGTTATATCTATACTGTACTTTTCAAAGTGGGGAACACTCCTGATGTGATCATATCAAAAGTCATGAAGTTCAGCATAGCTCTAAGGTCAAACTGACTTTAACTGTTGTAAGTGCTTACGTAGTGCACATGGTATGTCATTAGAAAACCAAAAAAGCAAAAATACTTACTATTATTTTCTTACAGTCCTTTCCTCTGCATAGTTCTGTATAGGTGGAATACTGCACATATATAATCCAGCTTCCAACAAAAACCACCAGCCAGGAAAAGAAAAGATACTTCATCCGCACGTACGAGAAGCGAGCCTGGGAGGGGAAGAGCACATAGCAATCGTTCATCAGCACCAAGTCACACTCGCTGCTGGAACAGGATTTCCCTTCCTTAGAATGCACAGAGTATGTCTTAGGCTTTCTTATGGAGGTACAGAACAAAGTTCACTTTCAGAGTCCAAACAACAGTGGACTTGGGAAAAGGAAGCTCCTCGTCTTGCCAGGAAAAAAAGGGAACAAATATCCTTTCCAGTATCTTCTAAGAAAAGCTACTCATGAACACAAGTGTGAGCCAGGCTACCGAATAATAAGCTCAGGTACAGAGACACAGCTGCCACCTACCAGAGGCTGACAAAACATTGTTTCACACAAGGATTTTAAAGGTCTATATGAATAATCATGATAAAAAATACTTTTAAAATTAAAATTAAAAATACTTTTAAAGAAAAGTAAGAACAGAGTGGAGCATGCCTGTAATCCTAGCTACTTGGGAAGCAGAGATTAGGAGGATCACAGGTTCAAGGCCAGCCTGGACAAAAAAGTTAGCGAGACCCCCCCCCCCATCTCAACCAACAAGCTGGGTATTGTGGTTCACTCTTATAGACCCAGCTACACAGGAGGCATAGGAAGGAGGATCTCCATTCAGGCTGGACAGGGGTGGGGAAAACTGAGAGACTCTATCTCAAAAATAACTAAAGCAAAAAGGGCTGGGGGTGAGGCCCAAGTGGTAGAACACCTGCCTAGCAAGCACAAGATCCTGAGTTCAAACTCCAGTACCAGAGTGGGGAAAAAAAGGAACAGAGAATCTGGTTATCGTCTACTATGTCATGGTGACAACCAGAAGAACTCAAACTCCAGAGTCATTCTCATGCCTGCTTGTACTTACCTGGGCTTTGGATTCTTCTATTTAGCCACCCAATGTTTCACCTAATAGATATTCTGGAAACTGGGCAGAATGCTGCAACTAGGAGGGACAAATGTCTGAGAAGGACAAAGGTGTGTTAAGAATAAATTGCCCTTTCACATCCATGTGAAAAGCTGCACAAAGGGTCCTCTTCATGTGGTTTTGCTTCCAGGGCTCTGATATCTAATTGCAACTTAGACTATTTGGGGCTTTTCTCCATCAAACACATACCAGACACCATAATCTTTTAAAGTGATGCTTGGAGCTGGGCACTGGTGGCTCACGCCTATAATCCTAGCTACTCAAGAGGCAGAGATCAGGAGGATGGCAGTTCAAAGCCAGCCAGGGAAAAATAGTTTGCAAGACCCTATCATGAAAAAACTCACCACAAAAAAAGGCTGGTAGTGTGGCCCAAGATGTAGGCCCTGAGTTCAAGCCCCAGTACCACAAAAATATATAGAATAATAATGGTCAACTTAATTTGACATTTTTTGGGCAGTGGGGGGTTCCTAGAGCTCCAGTGGTCTGATTTTATAAACAGTAGATTATGGAAAGACTTGAGCAGAATAAATTAGAGGTACATGAACAATGAAAAGCTAGTTTTGCTTTTATAATCCCAAGCCAGTTTCTCACACTGGGAAACTGTGAGCACTGTGAGCATGCAAAGAAGGCAGAGAAGGTGAAAGAGCTGTAAGCGCACCTGCAGAGGACAAGGACATGCAGAAAACGCTGGATTCTGTGGCCCACTGGCTGTCTTTGTGAGGGTCACACATGGTGAACCCTAGTTCCAAAGGCTTCAGTACAGTGAACTCATAATCACATGATAGGCAGATAGGTCTTTGAGATTTATTATTAAAATTTACAGGGCCTTTACTGTAAAACATGTTTGTATAGCTCTAAATGAATTCATAAAGAAAGTGAAGATGAAATTCACATTAAATCACATAAGTGACAGTGGGATATATACCAAGGCTTTTAAGACTTTTAAGATTACTTGACCCTAACAAGAGATCAGATCACATAGCAACTGGTAAGTAATATTATTATGAGGCTTAACTAACATTAAATGACTTAATGTTTATAGTAAATAAGAACATTTCTGGGCACATGACAGATAAAGAATTGCAGCTCAGCTAGGTACCAGTGTCTCAGTCCTGTAATCCTAGCTATTCAGGAGGATCGTGGTTCGAAGCCAGCCTGGGTAAATAGTTGAAGAGACCCTATCTCAAAAATACCCAACACAAAACAGGGCTGGCAGAGTGGCTCAAGTGGTACAGCACCTGCCTAGTAAGTGTGAGGCCCTGAATTCAAATCCCAGTACCACCAAAAAAGGAAAAGAAAGTCAGCTCAGTTTGCAAGAGGCCAACAACACTGCCATTGGTGATTGCCTTCTTTCTGGACTTGCCAAAAAGAAAAGAAAATCTGGATCTGATCAAGCATTTAACTGCAACTACCAGTTTACAGTAACCAGCAGAGACAGACAGGAAAACAAGTGACACCGAGGCAACTCCAGGCGGTGGGAAACAACTCAGTTTCTTCAACAAGTAAATTACAAGGGGGAAGAGAGATGGAGAAACTTAAAAGATTAGGAAAGATTTAAGGAATGTATCAAATCATCACACGGAAATCTTTTTGCAGTTCTGATTTAAATGAAAAACTAAAAAGGAAAATGACATCTAAAACAAGTGGAAGTTGAAGAATGAGAGCACACATGATGCTCTTAGGAGCTTATCTAACTTTCTAGGTGTGATAATGGTTCTGTGGTAATATTTAAATATCCTGCTTTTTTCTCTCAATAAGCCACATTTTTCTACTTCCTCTGGTATGTGTTTAAACTGACTTTCAGGATAAGCTCCTCCTGATACAGGACGTTAGACTAAGGATGCTCCCAGCAGGGGCTGGTCGTCACTGGTGTAGACACAATGACAAATGCAGTGGCACATTTTTATTCCCCCTGCTTTGGAAAGCCGCTGTGAACACAGCCAAGAACCTCATGTGTCCTTTAATATCTACAGGTCCTCAGCCTTACATTTAAAAATGATGAAGAAAGAAATAGTCATAAGCTACATCTGTGACAATTAACTAATTTTATTTCCTCAGCATGGTATTCAGTAAACTATTTCTACTGTTCTGTTCTATACCAATGACCTACACAATCTAGGCTTTGCTTAAGAAATGTAATCTGACATTTTTGTTCATACTGAATGATTCAAAATTACTGCCTAGCACATTTTTTTATTCTGATTTTGCACCTAGCTACTAGTGGAACATTGCTTTATTCCAAATTATGTTGCTGAAAAGCATGACAACAGCTTCCACCAATGCACCAAGGCAGTGACTGTCAACTGCAGGTGACACTAAAATGTCAAGGGCAGTTATCCAAAATGGTCAAGAGGGTTACGGATTTTTATTTTTCTTCTCTATTACATACACTTCGTATGCTTTTCTTAGAGAAAAAAACTGTATATTTATACCTGCGTGTTTAACGTACATATTTTGAAAATATATTCCTAGGATCTGGAAGTCTCTTGATTGCTTTGAAATGTCTTACTGTAGGGTAAAGGCTACAGGTCAGTGGTAAAGCACTTGCCCAGCATGCATGCAGTCCTGGGCTCCATTCTCCCCACCACACACACAGAAACACTTTTCCTGTGAAATATACTATTCATTTGCAAGTGTTTAAAAGTTTATACATATAGCTCAAATGGTTACTACAAGGCAAATACTTATGTAAATACCATTTGAGTCAACAATCCCCTACAGACATCTTTCCTCCCCAATAAAGGGTTAATTAACTTGTTCCTACATACTATGATAACCAAGTAGAAGCCTTTCTAGGTAGTCTGACCACAAATCATGTGTCCCTAAAATGTGGAGTTTGATGTGAATTGCTCCTGAACCTTCCATAAGTAGATGCACACACACAATGGATTCTATTTTAACTTGCACCCTTCTCTCAGCATTACATTGTCATTCACCCATGCTGGTATATGGCTAATCTGTTCATTTTCTTTGCTATAGAGTGTTCCACTGGTTTTCAGTAAACTTTTTTTTTTTTTTGGTAGTATGGGAGATTGAACGAGGCAAGTAGTCTACCACCCGAATGGCATCTCCAGTGCTTTTGTTTTTATTTTGTTTTTGAGATAGAACTTTGTGCTGACTTTGCCAAGGATTGCCTCAAACTTGTGATCCTCCTGTCTCTGCCTCCTGAGGAGCTGGGATTACAGGCATGTACCACCATGGCCAAGTTCTATAATCTTACATTTTATATACAATCAATATGTACACTTTTCAAACTCAAAAAAAAAAGAATGTGAAGTTGCACTCTGCCAGGCAATACTATGTTCATCTCATGTATTTTGTGCAATGTTCCTGGAAATGGACTTGAAGGTGTGAGAGACTACGAGAATGTACAGCTCATTCACATGCTGATGTAATAATAGGTTTACAAAGATGAGAGTTTGGGCTCTAAGTCAGTTCTGCCAGGAAGGCAGCTAAAGGCATCACACAGGTGCAGGCGGTATTACAGAACTGCCCTGGGGTAGGTGCAAGGTTAGTTCCTAACCAATGAGGGAGTGATTTTCCCACCAAAAGCTGAAGACTGCAAAATCCTTCACTTTGCTGCTACTTTAAAGAACACAGGCAAGACATATGTTAAAGAGAGCTATGAGACCAAGAAAAAGATCAAACCTATCCCCAGCATTAAAAGAAGGCATGCAGAAGGCTCAGCCATGTGATTTGCTTTGGCCAATGTTTGTTAGTAAACGTAATGCAATTGGATTTGCTGTGCTCCACTTCAGACACTGCCAGTAGAAAAACAGGTCCCTGGTAGTTTATTTACTCCAAAAGAGTAAGTGACATGGTAGTCCTCCTGAACCAAACTGCTGTCCTGAGCCAAGCTCAGCCTACATCAGCTGAGCTCCAACTGACCTATAGATGTGCGAGTGAGAAACAAATGAGTTTGGGAGAATTGTGTTATGTGGCACTGCTGTGGCTAATACTCAAAGGGATCCTGCTGCCCTCTTACAAGAAGAACTATTCCACACTGAGACACACAGAGTAAGCAAGTTCACCTTAGTCATGAGTAGCACAGCTGGGATGTGAATTGAGGTAACCTGACTTCAGGGCCTAC